GACAGAGCAGAGTTTAGGGATGTTGTACACAGAGCCGCTATGAGTCGCAAGCGACTCGACGGCACATAACAACAACAACAACAACAACGAGTTAAATTACTATCCAAGCAGCTGAAGAACTGAACCTAGAACAACAACAAATATATGTGTACATTTGGAAAACAGTTAATGGGTTAAAATGGGAATTTAAATCTATATAATTGAAAATTCTATATGGAGTTTAAAGCCAGGAAATATGTGTTTGAGGCCAAAATTCCATTCCCCTACTTGACATTCTGTGGTTACACAAGGCAAATAATAGAGTAATTTTAGAGCTCTCTGCTATACCCTTTAGGTATAATTAAGTAACTTAAATGCTGAGTTCCTTCTTATTTGTTTTGCCAGATTGCATATCTAGTATATCACTGCATGTTTACATTTTCTCAACATTTTGCCTTCCCCCCTACTCCCTGCCTATTCCACACTGCAACTTTCTTCTCATAAAACCATGTAAGAGCTAGAGAAAGCAAAAAATACCTCACTGCTGTCTCCCGGGAAGTGACTCAGAGCTGACCCTCACACAGGGAGGGTTTCAGGGCTGTAAATTGCTCAGGGAGCTCTGGTTGCCTAGTGGCAAGAAGCTGTGCTGCAATCCCATAGGCACATGGTTCTAAATCTACCAGGGGCTCTGCAGAAGAAGGATGGGCACTCTCCTTCTGTGTGCCTCTGCAAACCTGCTGGAGGGTCAGCTCTGGGTCAGTTTCAACTCGATGATAACCAATAACGACAACAACAAACTGCACATGATGAGTCTGGCCATGCTCCCACTATAGAGAGAGCAGCTGGTGGATTCAAATAAGTCTTTTTACCACTTTCAGAGAACAATGGGAATGGGATAAAATGGCTTATTTGTTTGAAGATATGTTTAAATATGCCACAATAAGTTTGAAGACATATATCTAAAAGGTTGTTATTACTGTTGTTGGGTACAACAGAGTCTGAACGGACTCACAGATGACCCTGTAGTGTTTTCAGAGGCAGTTAATCAGACAGAAGGAGATTCCCAATTCTTCTCCTGCAGAACCATGTGCCTTCGGGATTGCAACACAACTTCTTTCCACTAGGCCACCAGAGCTCCCTGTTGTTATTATTATACATCCATAATTACAAGAATATTTTGTTTCATTTGAATAAGGGGAGAGAGGTAGCTATGAAAATGATAGCACATTCATCACTGAGGATCCCGAAAGTCTCTATGTATGATAATTTCTTTTTCTTCTGCATGTAGTATTTAAATAAGGAAAAATTTCCCACATGCTTTCAGCTTAAATGGTACTGAGTCTATTCACTGCTACAATCTCTTTGCATTCCTGAAAAATGCTTGTGACTCTCTCCTTTTCATATTATTTACTTCCGAGTTAAAGGAATAAAAAATTGTTTGCTAGATGGATGAAATGACAAACTGCTCACATTGTTACTGATTTTCCCTAAGCCAGATTTAAGCAAGAAATAGTCACTGAAACCTTAAATGATTGACACTCTAATTTGAGTACCTTTAAAATATTTTTGAAAATAAGTATGGTATATAAATAACAAATTCCTTATCATTTCATTAAAGATTCGTAATAATAGAATCACATACAAAGATTTCCTTATTTAAGAAACATGTTCAGCTTTAAATCTAAGAGCAAAATAGTGTTCACAATCTCTACATACCAATTGCTATTTTTTATTTTTTTTTAAAGTGTAATAAAAATTGCCTAAGACTCTCAAATACCAATTGGCACAGATTGGCACTGTGCTTCTAAGTGAAAGACTCAAACTCATTGTCGCTGAGTCAAAACCAACTGAGAGCTGGTTCTCTAGTGGGTTTTCGGAGTTTTTAAATCACGTTGGAGGAGATTACACTTCTTTCTCTTGAGGAGTACTTGATGGACTTCTGCCTTTGAGTTGAACAGAAATTCTTACCCACGAGACCACCAGAGCTCTGACTTTTTAAAAAAATTTTTAAAATTTTAATTTTAATGAACATTTATAGAGAAT